TTCCCCCCCCCCCCCCCCCCCTTTTTCGCTTCGATCACATTCGCTGACTGCTGCTTCGTGCCTTCAACTTTCACGCCTCACAGCTGACCGACCCGGTCTTTGATCAGATCGTCAAGGCGACGCGTGGCAGTCGCAAGCGTCGCTTCCAGCGTGTCTGGGAGTACTGCTCCAAAAAGATGGTCTGCGAGGCAGACGACCCCAAGGACGAGGACGAGATGGGCTTCGAGGAGCAGGCAAAGCCTGGTCACGGCGGATGTGGGCGTGTTCAGCCAAACATCCGTCGCGAGGGCCTCAAGCTCTTCACCCAGTGGAAGAAGGGCAAGGGCGAGGACGAAGATGGCGAAGAGTCAGCCATCGCACAGCCTGAAAAGCGCCCCCTGCCCGCCTCCGAGGCACATACCGTCCTCAAGAAGATGTCCTCCGAAGACATCGCCGTCCTCGGTCTGTCCGAGGAACACGCTCGTCCCGACTGGATGATCTTGACCGTCATGCCCGTCCCTCCACCACCCGTGAGGCCTTCCGTGCAGGACGGAGGTGAGGACGACTTGACCTACAAGCTCGCCGACGTCATCCGCGCCAACGCAACCCTCAAAAAGATGGAGCAGGAAGGTACTCCCGCACACATCCTGGCCGACTTTGAGCAGCTGCTCCAATTCCACTGCGCCACCTTCATGGACAACGACATCGCCGGCCAGCCGCAGGCCATGCAGTCCAGCGGCCGTCCCATCAAGTCGGTCCGTGCGCGTTTGAAGGGTAAGGAGGGCCGCCTTCGTGGCAACTTGATGGGCAAGCGTGTCAACTTTTCCGCCCGAACCGTCATCACCGGTGATCCTCTGCTCGAGCTCGACGAGGTCGGCGTGCCCAAGTCAATCGCCCGCAATCTCACATATCCGGAGCGAGTCACTGCCTACAACAGGGCGTGGCTCTCCGAGCTCGTTCGCAACGGTCCCAACGACTATCCCGGTGCCAAATACGTCATCCGCGACACCGGCGAGCGTATCGACCTCAAGTACAACCGACGAAGCGACATGGCGCTGCAGCCCGGCTGGATCGTCGAGCGCCATCTCAAGGACGGCGACTACATTCTCTTCAACCGTCAGCCCTCGCTCCACAAGATGTCCATGATGTCGCACAGGATCAAGCTCATGGACTACTCCACCTTCCGTCTCAACCTCAGTGTCACCCCACCCTACAACGCCGATTTCGACGGTGACGAGATGAACCTTCACGTGCCCCAGAGCGAAGAGACAAGAGCCGAGCTCTCGCAGATCGCTTGGGTGCCCCGTCAGATCGTGNCCCTACAACGCCGATTTCGACGGTGACGAGATGAACCTTCACGTGCCCCAGAGCGAAGAGACAAGAGCCGAGCTCTCGCAGATCGCTTGGGTGCCCCGTCAGATCGTGTCGCCCCAGGCCAACAAGCCCGTCATGGGCATCGTGCAGGACACGCTCTGTGGTATTCGAAAGTTCTCGCTCCGAGACTGTCTGCTGGATTACCAGCAGGTGCAGCAGGTGCTCCTCTGGGTCGCCGACTGGGACGGCGTAGTGCCCATGCCGTGCATCCTCAAGCCCAAGCCGTACTGGTCGGGCAAGCAGATCCTCTCCATGTGCATCCCCAAGGGTATCAACGTTTTCCTCGACAAGGACAAAGGCCTCAAGAACAACTTCTTGAAGGACGACGGTGTCTGCATCGAGAACGGCGAGATCATGTACGGCGTGATCAACAAGAAGGTCGTTGGTGCCTCGGCGGGCGGTCTCATCCACATCATCTTCCGAGAGAAGGGCCCCGTCGTCTGCAAGCGCTTCTTCTCGGGTGTCCAGCGCGTCGTCAACTTCTGGCTCTTGCACAACGGTTTCTCCATCGGCATCGGTGACACGGTCGCAGACAAGGCCACCACCGACAGCATCAACCAGACCATCTCGGATGCCAAGGCGGCCGTCATGGACTACATCGAGTACGCCAGACACGATTGGCTCAAGGTCGAGGCCGGTATGACGCTGCGAGAGTCCTTCGAGGCCAACGTCAACCGCGTGCTCAACCAGGCGCGTGACGACGTCGGTAACCACGCAGAGAGCTCGCTGCCCGACTTCAACAACGTCAAGCAGATGGTCGTTGCTGGTTCCAAGGGTTCCTTCATCAACATCTCGCAGATGTCCGCCTGTGTCGGCCAACAGTCGGTCGAGGGTAAGCGTATCCCCTTCGGCTTCCGCCACCGCAGTCTTCCCCACTTTACCAAGGACGACTTCACGCCCGAGAGCCGTGGCTTCGTCGAGAACTCCTATCTCCGTGGTCTCACCGCGCAGGAGTTCTTCTTCCACGCCATGGCTGGTCGAGAGGGTCTCATCGACACGGCCGTCAAGACCGCCGAGACGGGTTACATTCAGCGTCGTCTCGTCAAGGCGCTCGAGGACGTGATGGTCTGCTACGATGGAACGGTGCGAAACTCGACCAACAACGTCATCCAGTTCGCCTATGGAGAGGACGGCATCGACGGCGCTCAGGTCGAGACTCAGACCCTGCTCACGCTCAAGCTCAATGATGCCGACTTCCGCCACATGTTCCACGTCGACCTGCACGATGGTGGCTTCCGAAAGGGCAGCCTGCGTCCCGGTCTTGGCGACTGGTCCCAGGAGCTTCAGGACCTGCTCGATGAGGAGTTTGCTATTCTCGAGGCGGACCGCCACCTGCTGCGTACGGAGATCTTCCAATCGGACCAGGTGCAGGTGCGCCTGCCCATGAACGTGGCGCGCCTGGTGATGAACGCCCAGCAGATCTTCCACATCGACCATCGCAAGCCCAGCGACCTCTCACCGGCCGAGGCCATCATCGGTCTGCGCGAAGTGCTCGAGC